AATTAAGAATATGTTATCTAAAAATCTTCATCTCTGCCATCTTGGGACCTCCAATTAGTGTTGATTGGGATACCAAACCCCATTCCCATGAACTGCTTCAATCTGATATTTGCTGCCTATCACACCACAACGCAGTAGGTCTGGTTTTCCCACTTTACACTTAGCATACGAGTAACTATTCTATCTCAGTTTTCTTCACTAAATACCTTTCTTCTGTGCGGTCTTCCTTCAATGTCAGGGTCTGAGTTATCTCTGTACTCTCTTTTCTTCTTCTAATCTACACTTTACCCCACAATGTATCATTTCTGTGTTTAGTTTTTGTACCAATATATGATTCTCTAATCTGTATCATTAGCCCAAACACCTTTTGCCATCTGATGCATGTATACAACTGATTATTTGATGTCTCCACATGGATACCCTAAAGAGGCGTCAAATTTAAAATACCCATCCACCACCTGTCTGTCTGTATAGGGTATATTTCCTACCTAAACTGGCAGTATAAGCATCTACCAGCCATTCAATCCACACTAAGGCAGCCAATTTTCATTCTTCCTTCCCTTTGCAGTGCACTCCCTTCACTGCAGCCATATTGCTTATCTTTCTCTCTCTCTTTTTTTTAATCTCTATTGCTATTTCATTAATTAAAAGCCTGGACTCCTCCCAAGGCTTTTTTCCCCCAGCAGCTTTATTGAGATATAATTTATATATAATAAAAATCACCTGTTTCAAGTGTACAATTTAATTTTTAGTAAATTTTCAGAGCTATGCAGCTACTGCAACAGTCCCATTTTAGATATTCATCTCAGGCAAGTACTACTCTAATTTTTGTCTCCATATATTTGCCTGATCTGGGCATTTCATACAGAAGGAAGGGACTTCAAAAAGTTCTTGGAACACAGAATCAAAAGATAAGTTTATTTTGGTGCAAAATAAATTTGAAATCCTTCTATAGTTTTTTTATAATACACACTTTCCATAAACTTTTTGAAGACCCTCATCTGAACTGCTTTCAAAACATTCTCTAGCAAAATAAACTTACCTTTTAATTCCATTCATAATGAGATTTTTTTTGTAAAATATTTGTCTATTTGAAATTCAGTGTTACAGAGAAGGATAGGCAGAGACAGACAGAGACAGAGACAGACAGATAGATAGACAGATCTTCCATCTGCTGGTTCACTTCCCAAATGGTCACATGGTCAGGGCTGGGCCAGGCCAAAGCAAGGAGCCAGGAGCTTCCTCCAGGTTTCCCAAGTGGGTGCAGGGGCCCAAGCACTTGGGCCATCTTCCACCACTTCCCCAAGCACATTAGCAGGGAGCTAGATTGCAAGTGGAGCAGCCAGGGCTTGAACCGGTGCCCATATGAGATGCTGGTGCTGCAAGTGGCAGCTTTACCCCCTATATCACAGCACCAACCCCTTTAATGAGGTTTCTGAAGTACCCTCCTCTGGTCTTTTGGACTTTCTTTCATTTAGCATATGTTTTTGAAGTTCATCCGTGTTGAACTATGTTTCAGCACTTGTTCTTTTCATTGCTGAGTAGTATGCTATTGTATAGATACACTGTTTTGCTTACTCATTCAGTAGCTGATGGACATTGGGATGTCTCCAGTTTGGGGTTCTTATGAACAATGCTCCTGTGAACTTTTATAAACAGATCATTATGCGGACATACATTTTCATTTCTCTTGAGTAGATTCCTAGGAGTAGAATCACTACATTGGATAGTAAATCTATTTTTTTAAAGATTTATTTATTTATTTGAAAGTCAGAGTTACACAGAGAGAGGAGAGACAGAGAGAAACAGAGGTCTTCCATCCACTGGTTCACTCCCCAATTGGCCGCAACGGCCAGAGCTGTGCCGATCCGAAGCCAGGAGCCAGGAGCTTCCTCTGGGTCTCCCACGTGGGTGCAGGGGCCCAAGGACTTGGACCATCTTCTACTGCTTTCCCAGGCCATAGCAGAGAGTTGGATCAGAAGAGGAGCAGTCGGGAGTAGAAGCAGGGCCCATATGGGATGCCAGTACTTCAGGCCAGGGCATTAACCTGCTAAGCCACAGCGCCGGCCCCCTGATAGTAAATCTATTTTAACTTTTTAGAAATTGCTGGGGCCAGTGCTATGGCATAGTGGGTGGGGCCACTGCCTGCAGTATCAGCATCCTGTATGAGCACCAGTTCAAGTCCCAGCTGCTCCAGTTCAGATCCAGCTCTCTGCTATGGCCTGCGAAAGCAGTTGAAGATGACCCAAGTTCTTGGGCCCCTGCCACCCTGCATAGGAGACCTGAAGGAAGCTCTTGGCTTTGGCCTGACCCAGCCCCCACTGTTGTGGCCATCTTGGGAGCTAATCAGCAGATTACATGCCCCTGTTCTCTGGGATACTTCCCCGTGCTGTCGCTGCCTCTCTTCCTTTTTCCACTAAAGGAAACATTCCTATATTCATTCCTGAAACTCCAATCAAAACTGGGTTCCCTACCAACAGGTCTGGTTCTGAATATGCTTCAACTAGTGCATGCTTTGTACTACACTTCATTTATTTCACATTTCTTTCTCTCCTACAAGTAGGAGTTCCTCAAGGACAGCATTACAAACTGAACGAACCGCATTTGCCAGTAACAAAATTGTAAACTAATTTCTTTCTTTTTTTTTTTTTTTTAAAGATTTATCGGCCAGTGCAGCGGCTAATCCTCCGCCTGCGGCGCTGGCACCCCTTGGTTCTAGTCCCGGCTGGGGCGCCGGATTCTGCCCCTGTTGCTCCTCTAACAGTCCAGCTCTCTGCTGCGGCCCAGGAGGGCAGTGGAGGATGGCCCAAGTGCTTGGGCCCTGCACCCGCATGGGAGACCAGGAGGAAGCACCTGGCTCCTGGCTTCAGATTGGCGTAGCGCGCCGGCCATGGCAGCCATTTGGGGAGTGAACCAACAGAAGGAAGACCTTTCTCTCTGTCTCTCTCTCTCTCACTGTCCAACTCTGTCAAAAAAAAAAGAGATTTATCTATTTATTTGAAAGTATTACAGAGAGAGAGGGAGATCTTTCATCTGCTGATTACCCCCTGCCACCCATGGGGGAGACCAGGATGGAGTTTCTGGCTCCTGGATTCAGCCTGGTCCAGAACTGATTATTGCGACCCTTTTGGGGGTGAACCACAGATGGAAGATCTCTCTTTTTCTGTCCCACTCTGTGTGTGTCATTCTGTCTTCCAAATAAATAAATACATTTTTAAAAAAAGGAATACAGGGGACCGGTGTTATGGTGTTGTGGACTAAAGCCTCCACCTGCAGTGCTGGTATCCCATGTGGGAAACGGTTCATGTCCCAGCTGCTCCTCTTTGGATCCAGCGCTCTGCTATGGCCTGGGAAAGCAGCGGAAGATGGCCCAAGTGCTTGGGTCCCTGCACTCGCGTGGGAGGCCTGGAGGAAGCTCCTGACACTTGGGTTTGGATCAGCCCAGCTCCGGCCATTGCGGCCATTTGGGGAGTAAAAAAGTAGATGGAAGATCTTTTTCTCTGTCTCTTCCTCTCTCTAAAAAATAAATTAATTAATCTTAAAAAAAAAAAAAAAAAAAGAAGGGCACAGGTGGGAAGTTGTGGTAGTTCCCATCTGATGGTTCCCATTCTTTAAAAAAAAAAAAAAAAGGAATATAGAAAAATATTAAAAGAGGGGCCACAGCTGTGGTGCAGCAGGTTAACACCCTGTTCTGAAGCACTGGCATCCCATATGGATGCCAGTTCAAGACCCGGCTGCTCCACTTCTGATCCAGCTCTATGCTATGGCCTGGGAAAGCAGTAGAAGATGGCCCAAGTCCTTGGGCCCCTGCACCCACATAGGAGACCCGGAGGAAGCTCCTGGCTCCTGGTTTCAGATCGGCGCAGCTCCGGCTGTTGCAACGAATTGGGGAATGAACCATCGGATGGAAGACCTCTTTCTCTCTCTCTCTCTCTCTCTCTCTCTCTCTCTGCCTCTCCTCTCTGTGTAACTCTGACTTTCAAATAAATAAAATAAATCTTTTTTTTTTAAGAATAATATTAAAAGAAAAAGCTTTACTTCTACAAAAGAAATAGCACTAGAAAGTACTTTATTTCTATAAATTGCTTTTGGGCTAATCCCTCAAAGTGTGAAATATCTTCGAGAATCTGCATGACACACATTAGCATTAGACATTAAGTAAAGCTTTTGCCTCAAAATACATTATTTTCCCAAGACCAGAACCCCTAAAGAAACATCATTCAATGACTCTTGGCCTGAAATGAACACATGAGGTTTCCGTAGCAGGTTTATTTCTATAACTTACCTCTTTTTATTCTGGCTTCCTTAATTTCTTCACAGAGTTTATTAAATTCTGGATCTAATTCAGCTGCAATTATAGCATGTGCAGTGTCCTTCAGGGTACAAGCCCTGTGCCTAATTATTTTATCTGTTAAAAAAGTTAGCAAAAATTTATTAGAGATACAAAGACATCTTGAAAAGAACATAACTTTTTAAATAAAATTGTGAAAAGCATTTCTAGGTAAGAAAAGATTCATTTATTGGTAGATAATTAATAAATTAAGCTATTCAATCAAATTAATAATTGTCTGGAAACTGGACTTTTAGAACTTCAAAGTACTAAGTTTACAGATGCTCATCCAGTCCTGTAGCTCTGAATGCCTTCTTGAAGTTGACAACCTGCGAATATTACCTCAGCCCAAGCTCTCTGGACATGATGTATCTGACACTACCACTTGACCAAAGGTCATCCGAAACTTATGTTCAAAACTGGACGTTCATCTCCTCGCACACTCCTCCTGAATCAATTCTTTCCCTCATCCTCTGTCTCCTCAATATGTGGCCCCCACACTTATCCCGCTCATCAAGCCAGCATCCTCAAAGACATATGATCGTATTTTAAAAATTTTTAATAAAAAATGTGATTTTTCAACAATTTTAAAATAATCAATATTCACTACATATCCAGATCAAATTGCCAGTCATAAAAAAACCTAAAAATTAGGAAAATTTTCCTATAAATTACAATTGGCCAAAACTAAGATAAATGACATGTTATTTCCTAAACAAATGTGACCTATTTAAAAAAAAAATCAAACAGACACATACAGAAAGACTTTCTAAGCTAAGAGTACAAGTAGTATATAAATTATAGGTAGAACCAGGGCCGGCGCCGCGGCTCACTAGGCTAATCCTCCGCCTAGCGGCGCCGGCACACCGGGTTCTAGTCCCGGTCGGGGCGCCGGATTCTGTCCCGGTTGCCCCTCTTCCAGGCCAGCCCTCTGCTGTGGCCAGGGAGTGCAGTGGAGGATGGCCCAGGTGCTTGGGCCCTGCACCCCATGGGAGACCAGGAAAAGCACCTGACTCCTGGCTCCTGCCATCGGATCAGCGCGGTGCGCCGGCCGCAGCGCGCCGGCCGCGGCGGCCATTGGAGGGTGAACCAACGGCAAAGGAAGACCTTTCTCTCTGTCTCTCTCTCTCACTGTCCACTCTGCCTGTCAAAAAAATAAAAAAATAAAAAAAAAAAAAAATTATAGGTAGAACCAGGAAAGAAAATAATACTAAAGGAAGAGCCTCTCCTTCAATACTAACCCAGGAGTCTCCATTCATAAATAATAATCTAAGGTAAAGAGTATGCCTTAGAGCTGACAACCCAGAGATATTAAAAGATAACTAAATATAACAAGGTAACTTATTTTGTAACAGTACCAAGAATAAGAACCCAAAATCACAAAATAGTATCTGTTTTATCCTAACAAAGGCAAAAAAAAAACAAAAACAAAACCAGAGATTATAAAGTTATAATAGCTCAATGCAGAAATCTTAAAAACAGACATGAAATAGTCAATGGCAACCAGTAGTAATACATTTCCTTCCAAGACATGTTCTCTAAATATTCACAAAACCAGTATCAATCACCAACTGCACTAGGAAAAGCCAAGTGCTGGCCATGCAACAGTGGGTAAGACAGACATGGTCCCGGCTGGTGCCGCGGTTCACTAGGCTAATCCTCCACCTAGCGGCGCTGGCACACTGGGTTCTAGACCCGATCGGGGCGCCGGATTCTGTCCCGGTTGCCTCTCTTACAGGCCAGCTCTCTGCTGTGGCCCGGGAAGGCAGTGGAGGATGGCCCAAGTTCTTGGGCCCTGCACCTGAATGCTAGACCAGGAGAAGCACCTGGCTCCTGCCTTCAGATCAGCGCAGTGCGCCAGCCGCGGTGGCCATTGGAGGGTGAACCAACGGCAAAGGAAGACCTTTCTCTCTGTCTCTCTCTCTCACTGTCCACTCTGCCTGTCAAAAAAAATTTTTTTTTTCAAAAAATAAAAATAAAAAAAAAAGACAGACATGGTCCCTACTTTCAGGGAATTTTTCAAACTAGTATAGAAAAATTGTGTTAAACAATTTCTCATACACATATATAAACACCTCTCTCTAAAAAAAAAAAAATCTTGAATAATCAACAGCTAAAAGAAAACCTACAAGGCTTTGGCGTGGATGCCAATTTAAACTGGACAAATCAGGAAAAGCGCCTCTATAAAAGAGGTACTTACACTGATACTTGAAGCATGCATTGGAGTAGCCACAGAAAGAGTAGGGAGAAACCAGTGCAGGTTCAGGAAATTCTGTGTAAGAAAATTCTTGAGGAAAAACAGCTTGTGGATTTCGGGAAACTCAAGTGAACCCTGTGTGCTGGTTCACTTCCCAAATGGCCACAATGGCCAGAGCTGGATTGATCGAAAGCCAGGAACCAGGAGCTTCTTCTGGGTCTCCCACGTGAGGGCAGGGGCCCAAGCACATGGGCCATGCTCTACTACTCTCCCAGGCCATTAGCACTAGAGAGTTGGATATGAAGAAGAGCAGCTGGAACACAAACTGGCATCCCCATATGGTATGTCGCCCTACTACGCCACAGCATTGGCCCGGAGAATATCTAGGTTTATTATCTAGGATTATTCACTCAGTATAATTATTGAGATTCATCCCTATTGTTACATGTATCAGTACTTCATTCCTTTTACTGCTGACTAGTTACCCTTTTTATGAATGTAACAATCTGTCCATACACATGTGGACATATGTTAGGGATAAATCCAGGTTTTGGTTACTATAAACAAAGTCACTACAAACACAAATATAATTTCTTAGTTAATATTTGGGAACAGAATGGCTGGGACACATGATAGGTGCATATTAAACATTTCGACACACTATCAGAGGCCGGTGCTGTGGCGTAGTGGCTAAGATCCCATATGGGTACCAGTTCAAGTCCTGGTTGCTCTATTTCCAATCCAGTTTTCTGCTAGTGCACCTGGGAAAGCAGTGAAAGATGGTCCAAGTTCTTGGGTCCATGAACCCACCTGGGAGAACTGGAAGAAGCTCCTGGCTTCAGCCTGGCACAATTCTTGCCATTGAGGCCCTTCAGGAAGTGAACTAGTGGAGGGAAAATCTTTCTCTCTCTCTCTCTCCATCTCTCCTTCTCTTTCTATAACTCTTTCAAGTAAATAAATAAATCTTTAAAAAAAACACACACTATCAAATTGTTTTCCAAAGTAGTTGTAACATTTTATATTCTTATAAGCAGAGCAACAGTTCCTTTCCATTTCTCCAAGTTCTTGCCAACATGTGATATTGTCAGTCTTTTTGATTTTGAACAAACCTTACAGATGGGTAGGGGTATCTTATTGTGATTTTAATTTCTATTTCACTGAAGATCGATGAAGCTGAATAATTTTCATTTATTTATTATCCTTCACTTATGTTCTTCAGTGAAGTTCCTTCAAGGCTTATACTCATCTTTTAATTTGGCCTGTTTTCTTACTAAATTTTGAGACTTCATTTACTATTCTGGGTACTGATTTTAGTGCTTACATTTAGGTGTATGATACAATTTGTGTCTCCTTTTCAAAGGTCATTTCTTGGTGTGCTGGTATCAATAGTTACAGAACTGTAAGACCACACATTGACCAATGAACTGACTTCATACTTTTGCCAAAAAATGTGTGGAAGTGTGTGGTTAGCCCAGTGGTTAAAAAGCCTACACCTCACAATGGAGTACCACAGTGTAATGATGATGATGTGATACTTAGATTTCCTGTGGACGCCCTTCATCAGACAGAGAACAGTCCTTTCTATTCATAGTGTATTGGTGCTTTTTAATCAGGAATGGATGCTGGATTCTGTCTATTTTTTTTGCATCTATTGAGATAATCGGAAAATTTTCTTTGTGTTAACACAACTACATTGACTGGCTTCCAAATGTTAAGCCAATCTTGCATTCCCGGGATAAATCCTACTAGATCATGTTGTATCCTTGTATCACATTGTCACATATAATTTGATAAAATGTTGTTCATGTTTATGAGGAATAATCACTTATAGTTGTTTTAATTATTTGTATTTCTTTTACTGGTTTTGCTATCAGATTAATGTTGACCTTACAGAAAAGCTTGAGAATTCTCCAATTTTCTGGAAGGATTTGTATAGAACTGATATTTTTTCTTCCCTAAATGTCTGGTGAAACTAATCAAAGAAGGCATTTGGGCCTGAAGTTTTCAATCACTTTAATAGGTAAAGCATTACCTGGTCACATTATCTATTTCTTCTTTGACGACCTTAGATATTTTCTTTCAAAATTTTGTATAATTTAAGCTGTCAATTTATTGGCATAATATTCCCTTATTGCCCCTTTAATATCTATAGAATACATAATAATGTCTCCCTCCCTACTCTGATCAGTTCAACTAGAGATCAATTGCTGACCTAGAAGAATCAGCTTTTGGTTTAACTGATTTTCTCTATTTGCATTTTTCTGTTTTCTATCTCACTGATTTCTGAACGGCTCTTTATTATTTTATTTTATTTTATTTGCTTTTCTTTGTGTAAAAGCTACGGTCATTGATCTGAGACGTTCTTCTTTTCTAATTTAGATAGTGCTAAAACATCTCCCTCAGTACTGCTCTAGTTGCATCCCACGAATGAGAGTGTGTTTTCATTTTATCCAGCTCATAAACTTCTCCGATTTCTTCCTTGGCTCAAAGATTATTTAGAAGTTGGTATTTCATTTCCAATTTTATTTTCCAGATAGCTTTATCTTACTGATTACAGCTTTAATTCCATTGTGATCAAAGAAAATAATTTTAAAACTCAAATTCTTTTATGTTTATTGACACTTGTTTTATGGTCCCTCTTGACAAATATTCTAATGAATTTGGGAATAATGTGTACAGACGCTATAACTGGATAGTGTGTCCTATAAATGGCACTTTGGTCAAGATAGCTGATAAGAGCTGTCCAAGTCTTTACATTTTTAATGATTTTCTAAGTACTGGTTTCTATTATTGAGAGAGCTACTGAAACTTTAAAGTTTAATGAAAAAGTTCCTTTCTCTTTGCTGTTCTATCAGTTTTTGCTTCATGACTTCAGAAACTCTGTTTTAGGAAGCACAGAAAATAGAATTATTACATCTGCTTGATGATTATGAAATAACCCTCTTTTTCCCAGGTAATATTCTTTGGTCTAAAACCTATTTTGTCTGATATTTATATATTTATTCCAGCTTTCCTTTGTTTGGTATTAGTAATACAGGCTTTTAACATATTACTATCTTTTTTTTTAAAGATTTATTTATTGGGGCCGGTACTGTGGTGCAATAGGTTAATCCTCTGCATGCAGCGCCGGCATCCCATATGGGTGCCAGTTTGAGACCTGGCTGTTCCACTTCCAATCCACTTCTCTGCTGTGGCCTGGGAAAGCAAAGCAGTGGAAGACGGCCCAAGGACTTGGGTCCCTGCACCCATGTGGGAGGACTGGGAAGAAGCTCCTGGCTCCTGGCTTCAGATCAGTGCAGCTCTGGCCATTGCAGCCATTTGGGGAGTGAACCAGTGGAAGGAAGACCTTTCTCTCTCTCTCTCCCTCTCACTGTAACTCTACCTCTCAAATAAAAAATAAATAAAATATTTTTAAAGAGATTTTATTTATTTATTATTTATTTAAAAGGTAGTTATAGAGAGGCAGAGGAAGTGAGAGAGAGAGAGAGAGAGAGAATTCTTCCATCCATTGGTTCACTTCCCAAATGGTCACAACGGCTGGAGCTGCACCAATCCAAAGCCAGAAGTAAGGAGCTTCTTTCGAATTTCCTATATAGGTGCAGGGGCCCAAGGACTTGGGCCATCTTCTACTGCTTTCCCAGACCAGAGCAGAGAGCTGGATTGGAAGTGGAGCAGCCAGGATTAGAACCGGCGCCCATATGGGATGCAGGAACTGCTGGTGACAGCTTTACCCACTACCCCACAGTGCCAATCCCCATATCTGTATCTTTAAAGTGAGTTTCTTATAGTGAATATATGCTTAGGTCTTGCTTTTTTGTTTTTTTCTTTTTCTTTTAATCAAATCTAACTCACTCACTCTCTCTCTCACTCTCTCTCTCTCTCTCTCTCGGGTATGGTTAGGCCATTTTTTCCTGTAAACAATTATAATGAACATCCTTAGAAGTAGCTAGACTTTCAAGCTGATAATGCAATGTTTATAGCCTAAGTGATTCCACAGCTTTCCACCACTAGGCTAAGCATTTATTCCAACAATACTTTTAAGAAAAACTCATTTTCATGGCATGATTTTTTTAAAGTTTGTTTTTATCAGTTTTATTTTTTATCCCAAATTATTTCATAGTTAAGAAATTGTGTTATATTTATGGGTTCAGATCATATTTACACATTAGCAATACAATGCACATTTCTAATGTATCTCCATTATGTTACTATGCTTCCATTTTATAATTTCTAGCT